CCCCAAAACCCCAAAACCCCACAATGTAAGATTATAATATATAATTTGATCAGAAAAATAAATAAATGGAAAACTTGGCAAAAACAAAGTTATATAATTAATATGGTATTGGCAAAATATATTCTAAATATATATGCCTTGATATATACTCCTTCGCACTCAATGATTCAGAGAGTATTTTCGAATACATCTTTAGAATAAATAGAAACTTCAGATTGACATTGATAAAGGAATATACATATTTAACTGCAAATGCTGAAATTGAGAAGGAGATAAAGCTTATAACATGTTCTTTTTAAAATGATTTGATGATAAGATCTCTTGATGAGCAATACTTTATTCATAATCTGAAATTTTATCAGAATATATCTGTTCAGGTTAATGACCCTTACTAATTACAAATAGTAAGCGACTATAAAAAGCGAAATCGTTTTGTAAAGATTCATAAATTGATAATAAGAGCAGATCCAGATACCTTTTCTGATGAATATCTTAACAATTAGTATGTCACCACTATAAGAGATTCAGGACTAAAAAACATTGAATTTTTGATTTTAAATATTAAGAGCTTCAATTTTCTAAAAGATTTTGGAATTTATGATATGGAGTGGACAATTGAACCTACTCTACATTTCAGATAAAATTATTCTCTTTCCATAAAAGACATTGAATTCACTTAAAAACCTTTCAGCATTAAAAAGTTGAATGTTATATAAACAGCTACTAAATTAGGCTACTATTTACAATAAACATTTAGTTATATAGATACTTTGATTTATTTAGTTGGAATGATGAATGATTATGAGGATTTGGGCTTCCTTAATAGTTTAAAAACAAGATAGTTAAAAATTAATGGAGTGCAACTTATGGATTAGAAAAACTAGCAATTGTTTGAGAAATTGTCTTCTTAAAATATCTCAGTTGATTAACCTTCTTTTGAGGTTGTTAGTCTCTTAAAATAAAAGTTCGAAATGAAAAATATCGAATACTTTGATTCTAAAATAATCACTTCAGATTTAGGAAGAGAAAATGTAAAATTGAATCAAATTAAATTGCAAGAAAAATACAAGTATATTCTAGAAAGACCAGAGAGAGAAAAAATTATTATCTTCAAACCATTCAAGGAAGATAAGTTAGACATTGACCTTGACCTAAAAAAGTGCTAATTATTAAGGAAATTTACATTTATTGGTCATAACAATCTGGAATAATAAGATCATCATTAAATCACTAAAATATATAATATTCACTATGCTCTCTAGAATTTAACTCATTTAAATATACAGCTTTAGAATTTACCAGTTGAATTTATTTTTCCTGATTCATTCAAATTTACTTAACTAAGATGCTTGTATGTGGAGGAATAAAGAGTTTAAAATCGTAATTTTATCCTACAACTGGTTAAATATTCTTACAATACTTTGAAAGTATTCCAAATTTTCGTAAACAATTCCAAAAAATAGAGAAGTAATCCTAAATATTATTTTTTGAATTAGGAGTCTTTATTAATTACTTTACTTAATAGCTTGAACCCGAAGATTATCTAAGAATTAAGCGCATTGACATTATTCTAGGAGAATATTGACTAAATAATGGACAACAAAACTTTTGATTAAAATTAGTAGCTGCAAGCTTACAAGGAAGCACATATTCCATTATTCAATATTTTGAAGGACTTCAGATAATTGAAATGTTTAGAACTGCCTATAGAATCAAGAAATAATCAAATTACTGAATGAAAGAGTGTAAATTTTTGAGACTAATATTCCTATTAACCTTGATTAATTAAGAAAATTACTCTAATCTAGGAAAAGAAGGCTTAATTTTATTAACTATAATGCATTTATCAAGAAAGCTGATTATCTTGATTTACTAGAATAATTTCCTAATCATTCATTAGACTTTAGTTATTTTAAATGAGAGTAGATTTGATTAATTAAGATTTTTTTAATTCCATTTCTTTACTTACATTTATTTACGGGGTTTTGGGGTTTTGGGGTTTTGGGG